CTCTGATAGATGGGGGAAGCATTATAGACACCGCCAAGCTAGTGGAGGCCGAACTCGCTGGCTCGGTCGGGACTGATGGTACGCACCAATATCGGTAGGGTATAGAGACTGGTAGAATATCATAGAGGGAAGCACAATGGACCAATACTGGTCTAAGTGCATGGGGAAACCCACCCTCTCCAATAACTAACTAATGGGTGGTCTCTCTAAGATCGATTTTAATATTGTCCACCGACTTACGTCTTGCTCTTCTTTGCTGTCTCTTTCCTTCTGACTCTGGCACCAGTACCTTATATGCACTCGCATTCTTCTCCAACCGTACTACATGCCCAGCCCATCTCATCCTCCTTAACTTTATCATTCTAATTATACTTGGAGAAGAGTACAGATTATGAAGCTTTCTACAACCTCCCGTCACTGCATCCATCTTCGGTCCAAATATTCTCCTCAACACCCTGTTCTCTCATACATCCTTCATCTATGTTCCTCCCTTAATGTTAGAGACCAAGTTTCACACACAAGCAAAACCACAGGCAATTTTTTTTTTGTATATTCTATTATGTTCTTGGACAGCTGACTCGAAGACAAAAGTTTCTGGACTAAATTGTAGCAAGCATTACTCGAATTTAACCTCCTCTTGATTTCTTCCTGAAACAGGTTTCGATTTGTTATAGTTGTTCCCAAACGATTATGCATGTCCGAGTATTACTATTTTGCTTCATGGGGATTTTATATTCTAAGGCATATGGGATATAATTATATCGAAAATAAAACTATTTCTTAGCTACGAAGTACAAGACTTCGGAATATTTTTGTGTGAATGTTAAGCCTTTTCTATATGCGTCATTGTAATGTAAAAAGACGGAAGACGCCGTGACAGACTCGTCAGAAGAATGGACACAAACCTGAGTCTCCAGCACTGTCACTACCAAGTGTGTTCTCAATCCTGTTATACGCGTCACAATCTTGAAGCAGCAATCCTCACAATTTTTAACGATGGTTCTTGACGGCTTCCGAAAAGAGGTGAGAGTACTATAAAAGAAGTAAAATCATTCAATCAACTCTTGAGAAAGCCTCACCTCTGATACAATAAATTGGCTGTGTGCAAAATGGGCACATGGCGCCTTTAGAGGAATTCTTAGCTCTTTCATTGCTGTGCGTGTTGGAGAAACAAAACGATTCAACTAAAAATTGTGGTTTTTATATGTTACTTGCTCTAAATACCCATACCGAGTATTTTACTTAAAATTGAAAATGAAAAAAAGGTAAAACTCTCCGAGTAACAGACCGTGGAGGACCATAAGTTTGTGAGACGTCGAGGCTCCCACATTTTCTAGACAATCGGCTCAGAGATGGCGGTGAGGTTAACAGCCTTACACGCCAGCAGATATTTGCCCGCTGGAAGATTCCTGGTACTCATTTCTGTTTGCGGCTCGGCTGACCCTAGTGTTATAGTGCGGCTGGAAGTATCTGGTAAACTGAGAAATCCAGTGACTTCACTGGGAATCAAATCCGTGACGTTTCGGCTTGTAGCATAGTGTCTTAAACAACTACGCTATCGAGTATACCCAAAATTTAAAATTATGCTGTAATAACTTGGAAGTTTATTTAAACGGACAAACGTGGCGAAAATTAGTAAGTTTACGCCAACGAAATGTTATATTTCCTCCTATAATGTAAACAAGTTTCGGAGGTGTGCTCGTAGTTGTCGCAACAGAATTTGCGGTTACCATAGCAACGAATGAGCGTTAAGTTCTCGTATGAACGTCATTTATGTGGTAGGTCACTAACGAGCGAGCAGTCATTCGTTTAAATGTTTGCGTCTCTCTCCAGAATATTACAAATATTTTCATGCCGGTATAGGAAGTGTTTTGCACTACATAAACGGAAGGAGCACAGTTGAAAAGTATGAGATTATGAAAACCGCCTCAAACTCTGACGTCAGTTTCATGCTGACGAATCACGAATGAAGCAAGACTGCGTCTTTAGTCTCATGTCTTGATGCTTGTCTTGACGCAGTTGGTGTTGCAACCCCCTTTACTCTTCTGTGTTGAAGAAGCAGTACTTGTCTCACCAAACTGTATGATACGACATCCAAAAATACCCTAATAAAGTCCTTCTGACTGAAGAAGCGTTCACGTGGACTTGGGTTGCTGTTACGCTGGGAATCCCCGAATTATTGTGACGTTGTATGGAAATCTTCCGCCACATGCGCACTGTATTGTGAGAACGCTTTTAAATTGTCAGAGGCTTTACACTACTTTTCTGTGAAGTGGAAAAACATGTAAAGGTGTTGTTGTCACTCACAGACAGCCAATAAACCAAATAACTCGGTTACCTGCTATTTCATTCTATGTCATAAGAACTTCGAACCACTGACATAAAAAGCAGCAGACTTTAGAGACGGGATATGAAGCATAGTTCCCCAAATAAAAATCGGCTTCTACAAGGTCATCTTTCCTATTTTGCAAGAGAGTCGATGCATATAAATCCATATCTAAATTTCATGCGAGGAATTACTACCCCTACAAGAGCCAAGTGTTGAAAATTTCGAACTATACAAATAATTTATTATCTAACATCTAGTGACATCTGTTGTTATGTTATGTGAAATACATAGTCAAGAAAAAATTGGTTGGAATACGGCCCTACATTTGAACTTCTTTGGAAACTTTCATATATTATGGAGTGGTCTCAAGGATCGCAGAGCCATCAGAGAGTATAATATGCCACGAATCACTTGGGACTCGGAATCAAAAATCACTGTGCTGGCGAGGACCAATAGCAGTTCAGCAGCCAGTTCATACTAAACTAAAACTAAAAGAAAAAAACTCCGTGGCTTTAGTCCGAAAGCGAACTATACTGACCGAGCGACCGCCGCTTGTCGGCGAAGTTAGTGCCAATTTTAACGGATAGAGGGTGTCGCGTGGTCAGCGCAACGAATCCCCACGGATGTTTATTTCGGTATTCTAATCCGAAACCGCTACTTTTCCATTCAAGTAGCTCCTCAGTTATGCTCACGAGGCTGAGTGGACCCTGTTCGAGACCCATTATTTCTCAGGAAATCTGGTAGCGCCGGAAATCAAACCCGGGACCTCTGGATCTTTAGTCAGGAACTCTTACCACTAGACCACAGAGGCTGTCAGTCAGTTCATGCAGTACATTAATCAGCCATGTATGAAGAACAATTCTTATTTATTAAATATCAAGGCTTGAAAGGGCGTAGAGGTGTGGAAGTATGGCTTACACCTTCACGCATTCTTAATCAGAGAACTATACGGAAATAAATGGTAAGCTTCACGCCCCGACCGCTTTGTTTCCACTGAAAGAGTCTCCGACACGTTTGAGATAGGAGGCTAAAAGTTCGGCCACGCAGAGCGCTACGCTATGTTCGCTACGTACGCTACGTACGCTGTATACACTCTGCGACGCAGCTAACACAGGGAACATAGCGTACCTACGGTACGGAAGTCTGTGTGGCCAGTCACATTGGCAATAAAGGGAGATATTTTTCTGTTCGTATAGCGAACATAGCGTACGTAGCGCTCTGTGTGGCCGAACCTTAAGTGAGGCCAAGGTCCGAAATAAACGCAGTGCATAAGATAGAAATATTTGCCTCTTTCGGGAATGAAACACAGTTCTCGCAACTGTTCGAACACCTAGTCTGTTCGCTTATAATTACTGAGCTATCCAAGCACCTCTATAAAAATTCTACCTGTTATAAGAGAAGATGTTAAAAAAATGGGGAAGGTGTTGTTCAAGGTCACTGTAATTTCTTCTTTGATGTTATTGTTCATCCGTATATCCAATTTCGGAGGTCTGTAACATATGACAATTAGTTTCTCACAAGATAAAGACGGAATTCTTTT